AATTTTTTTTACCACCATGGCCAAATAAATTGCTTATCGACACTTTGAAAAAACACAGAGTGGCCTGGTGTGGTGGCACTCACCTGTACTCCCAGCACCCGAGAGGCTGAGGCAGGAGGGTCACCCTGAGTTCAAGACCAGCTTGCAATACACAGAGAGACCCTGTCTCAAAAAAACAAGACCAAAAACAAACAAGGAAACAGAGGTTAGGGAAGAAGAGGAAGAAGACAGGTGGAAAAGCTGTAGGTGTAAGAGGAAGCCTGTCCTTCACCGAATCTAGGACTCAGCAGGCAGAATCAGCCACACAGACTTACAGGGACAGCTTGGGGAGGATGAGAAAACCTGCCTCTTCCAAGCAACCCTCAGAGATGCTAGAGCCAAAGCAGTTTCCACAGAGGAGCCTGCTGCCGGCTTCTCTGCACTAGGATCTCACCACAGAAAGGGAATAAAGCATCAAATATGTTCCCAAGGGTCTAGAGCCTCATTCCTAAACTGAGTGTGGTGGCGCACACCCATCATCCTAGCACTCAGGAGGCTGAGGCAGGAGGATCACCATGAATTCCAGGCCAGCCTGGGCAATATAGCAAGACTGTCTCAAAAAATGACAACAATGGAAACAAAATAAGAGAAGCAGCTGTAAAACCGTTTGAGGACTCAGTCACTGAAATGGGTAGCCGTGAAACGCCAGGTGATGAGGCCTGGAAGTAGACACACAAAGGTAAATAGCACCCAAAAAACTTGGCTGGTGTGTTTAGGGAATATACAAAAGAAGTCCTTCTTTTCTTTTCTCTTTTCTCTTTTTTCCTTTTTTCTTTTTTTGTCTTTTCGAGACAGGGTCTCGCTGTGCAGTTCAGGCCAGCCTTGAGCTCACTTTGTAGCCCAGGCTGGTCTCGAACTTGCAACAATCCTCCTGCCTCAGCCTCCTGAGTGCTGGGATTACAGGTGTGTGCCACTACGCTCAGCCTTCTTTTCTTTTTTAAATTAAATTTTTTTTTTTTGAAA